TTAACATAAATCAATTCCTATGTTTGTTCTACGTATAAAAGTACTAGGATAAGATCATCGAAAAATTGTGTTTATCCGGATATTTTTGTGCAAGATATGAAATATCTCATAAAATACTGATAAATATATATAAAATATTAAAATATCTATAAATATATATAAGAAATAAAATATCTCGAAAAAAAATTCACCTTTTCATGATTTTACCTTTTCTATGCAAAATGAACAGGAGAATCGATTTATGTAAAAAATGTATGTTAAGAAGGTTATATGTATCCAGCTAACCGTTTGCTTACGGATTGTTAACAACCAGACAGAAATTCTCTACCTGAGTGAGAAATTTAAGAATTTGTGCGTTTGTTTGCGTGTATATATGAAAAAGTTTGTAAAAACTAAAATTGTGTAATAACATTTACACTACAAAAATCTGTTATATTCGTTTGCACCCTTGTTTACAATTGGAAACTACTTTTGGAAACAATTGATTCTTCTTAGATCCGTATAACGTATCCTATCGGATTCTACATGAGATTTGATAAGAATCTGAAATGAAATTTAAATGTGAAATCCTCTGTATTCTGAAATGTCATAAAAGAAGAAGTGGCTTACCGTTCAGAAGAAATTATTGATAAGAAACTTGAGCTACTTTGTATTTATCTACAAGGAAAGTGAGATAAATGTTGAATCACTTAAATCACATGAATCACTTAAAGAGTAACATTTCTCCTTTAAAGACATTTTCTGCGTGTAAAAGATAATTTTTTATCAAGATTCAAAAACTTTTACTTTCAAGCTAATGTACAGAGAGGCTCAATAATTGTTCTCTATTAGACGGTACGCAAAGAAAAAAATATTTGCGCCAATCCACTCCAATTATAATCATCGGCAATCTTTTTCCCCACGAAAGATCATTCCAAAAAAGAAACGGAATGTATATCTTTTATACTCGTTGCACGTTCGTGCATTTTTATTTTCTTCTTTTCTTGCGAAACAAATGTCTCCTCGTGTCTTGAAGCGGGCGAAACGTCGCGGCGGTGAAATAAATCATTCCGAGAGCATTTTCGTTAAATCGCCTCGACGAAAAATACGCAGGCATGCGTGACATGTATACGTGGAGGCTACGAAGTCCCCTCCGACTCATCATCGGACTGACTAAAAATATCGCATGTACAACTAGTCCGTGTATATACGTATAGCACCCAATCGCAAGCAAGTAATCCGCACGAGTGCTCACCGCGCGCGCGCGTGTGTGTGTGTGTGTATATGTGTCTAGAATGTTCCTTAAATACACTCAGTGGGGCGATTTTATTTCAAGTAAAAAGTATTTCATGTGTCCGCTTAGTTTCCGAAATACAGGGTATTTTCAAAAAGAAATTTAAACGTTCAGGTTGGTTCAGATTGTTCAATCTTTGTGGAAGGAAGGTGCGTATCATGGCGGACATTTCCAACAATTCGCTTCATTTCTAATTTTTCTTTTATTTTTCTGGCTGTTAAATTTTTTAAAATATCACTTCTTATTAGCTTCAATAAAGTGACATTTTCCTGAAAACACTCTGTTTTAATATGAACAATGAGTCTATTGTTATCTTTTCATTCTACTTATTTTTCTCATTCTCGATTCGACTCGCGAGCCAATATTCGATCGTAATTATCAATTTTAGTGCAGCACGCATCGAGAGGGTAACGCCATAGGAATTCTCTGCGAGCCATTGTGCACCGAAAAAGGGATACATTCGCTCGCATGTGAGACGCTTCACGCAGGCAAAGAGGCGGTGTTCTCGGCGCACTGGGAAGCGACTCGGCTTGTCTTCAAGGCTTCGAGGTATACTTCTCTTTTTCTTGCATGAATGGGATCCCATCCAGAAGTCGCGCTTTCATTTTCACGTTAGAAAAATGCCGATTTCAAGCATTTTCATCGTTTCGCAAAACATGGTTTTGTAACAATGAAGAAAATAAATATCTTCAGATCACTCACCATTCTCCAGCATGGAATCAGCTGTCAAAATTGCAAACATTTTACTTGATCGGCTTATCGGTGTTTAGACGAATATTTCGATTTAAAAGAAACGCTAGAAATAAATTTTCGTTCCGCTCAGAACTAAAACACCCTCAGAGCAGTTTGAGTCGCTCTACTGGGTAGACGCGACCGGTCTACGACACTTCCCGTCCGAGGAAGACTTCGCCAACATGATCAAAGATCTGGTGGTCAGCAAACTGAACGTGACGCTGTCGCGACATCAGCTGGAGCGGCTCGCCCGGCTGCGTACACACCGGGTGGAGACCGATGTCGTGCGGCGCCGCTTAGAGATGGAGAATCTCTGGCCGTTGCTTCAGGAGAACGAGTACCTGATAACGATCCTGTACGAGGACAGGGATGTGTTTCCGCAGCTTATCGGCACGTGCGGCACCTTCTACGCGGTGGAATATGTCAGACCGATCGAGACCCCGACGACGGTACTGGCGTTGTCCGACTCGAAGCCCGAGTGGGCCAAGCGGCTGAAGCTCGCCGTAATGATCCTCGACCTGCTCGAGGAACTGGAGACAGGCATGCCCGAGCCGTTTCACATCTGCGACGTGAAGATCAATCACTTTGGTCTACCGTTGGGCGGGCAGAGGCTGAAATTTCTCGACCTGGACGCGGTCTTCCCGAGGACTGTGGTCGGCCGCGTCATCGCCGACGGCAAGAGCTGCGAGAAGCACGAGGACTGTGATTACTTCGACTGTCGGTCGATATGCTCGAGGAACATGCGTTGCGAGACGCCGGTCCTTAACGATAATTTGCAGGTGAGTAATTCTCCCGTTATCGGGAAAGAAACTGCGAGAAAAGCGCGCTTCTTGTAGATCGTCTGCGAGAAGATCTTCCTCGGCTGGACGCTCTCGGGAACGATCATTATTCCTGGATTGCTCATGTCGGAGCACACCACCAGCAGCTTGGCCGTGCTGCTGAGGCAATGCGCTAATCCGCAAAGCGACGCGAACTTACCGCGCGCGGCAGCATCTGAGAACGTGAAGAAGCGACTCTACAGCATGCTGAGCGAAATGGAACAAGAATACGCAGCGTTGGTATGAGAGAAACAGTTGTGTATTTAACAAGGATCTCAGGAATTCGAGATTAAGAGGTGGTCTCTTCGGTTCATCGAAATACGCACTATCTATCTTTTCTTCCCTCTCTTTTTTCTTTTTTTGAAAAGTAAATCAATGTATGTACGAACAAAAGCATCATGCGTAAGGATAGTATAGGAATTATACAGACTTGACGTACTTCTATGGAGCATCATAATATAACACGTTGAGTGCCACATTATCTATATTTAGATGGCGCGAATTTCCTCGTCATCCGTTTGAGTGACTTTTCCTTAGGAATTATTCTGATTATTTTTTACATATTATTAGAATTATTTTATCAGGGATCAGAAGTGAACTTTTATCATGTGGTATCTTGTTTTATGCTTCAACTCGTACGGTCGATAATATATCAATCCATTCAATTTCGAGAAATCTTGATCACGCTTCTCATAATAAGACAAATAAAAAGTTTCAAAGAACTCGACGCAAAAATGTGTCTCATTGTCAGTAGGCTTTAAAGTGTTAATCGTGCTGAAGTTACTTTATTATTAACAAATTATTTTTGTTACTAACAAAATGTTACCGTTAATAATAAGCATATATGTAAATATAGCTTAATTTTATATTATGTATTTTTTTTTTTTTTCTAGAACTCTCTGTCGAGAGTATTTTGCACGGCTGTATACGGTCTCACATGACGACCAGAAAATTCAATCAAGATTCACGTCCGAATCCAGCGTGGCACTCAATGTGATAGTAGAGATAAAAAGGAGTTCAATGGTAGTTAGTGATGCTAATAAGGATAGAAAGAAGGTAAATTTATTTATGTGGATAAAAGAGATTTATAGATCTATATTAGTTCGTATACAGATTAGCGAAACGTAATGATAACGATAAACGACATAAAACGATGAAGAAGCGACGGAAGTGATCCTTTAAAAATTGGGTTTCAACGACCCGTAAGAAGTCAATCCGACTTGGTGAACCATGGTTCACTGAGGAACTCATGAATGCGCTTAATTAAAAATAAAGAACGTCCAGTTCCTAATATCGTTATGTATATAGATGAACTTATGTAACGCGCGCGATAAGTTTAATATTTAATAAATTATATATACTGAATATTTCTCTCTCTCTCTCTCTCTCTCTCTCTCTCTAGTGTTAACTATTATACGTCATATACTCGCGAGTGCCTATTATACTACTTTATACCATGTTCTTTCTTCCTTTTGTTTCAAACGCGGTTGAAGTGCCACTGTAAACTTGAAATAAAAATCTGGGACTATAAAACTCCGAATTTTTTTTTTCTCCTAAATATTGATATTTATTCAGATAGTTGGACGATGTTTTCATATGTTTTCATATGACCTCAATCGTGATCATTTAACAAGCTCTTAATTACATCGCAATGTTCAAACTGTAGGAGTCAAAATAATTAACAAAACAAACATACTGTGTGCTAAGAACATTTATTTAACATGCTCTAAATATGACCTCACATACGATTAATACATGAGTTTCTTGTACTGGAATCAAATCTATCGATATACTCACAATAGAGCAAATTTAGTGATATTTAGATTGCCTTTGAGGAACTGAAATAAAAGAAATATGGAATGTCACAATTATGTCTCCACTGAAATTAATTTTCTTTTACTCACTGAATTTCCTATAGTTGATCAAATAGAAGTATATCATACAGCAAACAGTGACTTGAAAGAACGGAGCAACACCACACTTCTTAGGTTGTACATACTTGTGTTGCCAACGCCAAAATGCTGCAGAAAAATAGAGAAAGACATTAGCTGTATATCAAAATTGCACAGGCACATTCGAAAGTTATCGTTCTTTATACACAACCAGAAGGTTGGAGTAATGTAACTTTTGGTTAATAAAATGGCTCTCGGATGAATGAGATACGTACCTCGTGAGCACACTCCTACGAACGCTCGCGGCGTTTTCTCACGTCTCCCAAACCAGGCAGGGATATCCTTGAGCTTCAAATCCAAAAATGGAGTGTCACCTACGTGAATAAGAAATTATTACATAAGGTCAACTTCGAACGAATCGATGGGTGTGTAAGCGTGCGGACTTACATTTTCCATAGTAGCGTGCAGGATCGTACGGCCCGTGTTTCACAGGATCATACGCAGCGGGATATCCGCCAATATTAAATTTTTCCATAGCGGAATATCAAACTTTACCGGATCGACTTTCGTCGTTTTGGCAGATGATATATCTCTCTCTCTCTCTCTCTCGGTATTGGTTCCAGGAATCTCGCCAGGAGGATCCCAAGACCATTCCGAGGCAGATAATATCGATAGAAGAAGTGACTAATGTTCGACCGATGAATCGATTCTTATACTCTTGACAAATCGATTCTTTTCTCGATAAGTCAATGGCTGCGTTCAGCAAAGAAAGCAACTGTTTTAAAACTCGTGAATCTGCTTGGTGCATGCTCTTAAACCCGTATCAGGATTGGGGATTAAATTTGTACAATCAGTACAAAGTTAACTGAATTCAAGTTTAGTGAACTTCGCGCTGATTGGCCAAATTTCAATTCAATCTCCAATCCGTAGTCTGATACGGGCTTTAGCGCTGATCAGCGCTAATAGTGTGTTTCCCACCCCTGGTGGAAAAAAGGAAGCAGCCAGTGCAGCGATAGAAAACAGACCTTTTACTTCGTAATGTAATTCGCGCCAAGCCCATACTGTTCGAAAAAAGTTCAATCTGAATGCGTAAAAACTGTATAATCACTTTGCCTCACGAATGATAAATGTCCGAAAAAAAATTAGCAAGCGGCACAGCAGCCTTTAGCCAGGAAGAATATAATGATTATCAAACGTATCTCTTGTCAGAAGCAGAATGGCCAGGTGTCAACGTTGGTAAAGGTAAGTGGTATATAAAACTTATTCAAATATGTAATTCAGATTTGCAGGTAGAATAATGCCATACATATATAATCGTGTTGTATAGTGACTTGCGAAAAGTTTGTTTCTTTTTTTTTTTAGATTCACATGTAACAGTCAACATACCAATGCTCATTATGGAGTTATTTCGATTAGTTCCATATAAAGAAAATCGTTATGTGCATTTTCATCCGTTCAATATGCCTCATGTTAAAGTACGAAAGATTGAACTGGTGGGAATAGTTATGAACATTAGACGCAATGTCAATACTTTGTTTCTAACAAGTAAGGCAATATATATGTTATGATCCGACATTATACAGGACAACAAATTAAATAATGGAATAATATTCGAGAGTAAATTAAAATAATGTTATAGTTCAAGATGGAACAGGTGTAGCACAAGTTAATTACCAGGTAGAAAAATATGCATCTTTATTGAAACAACGGAAGGAGATTGACGAAAAGTATAGAGAGCAAGCTAGAAATTTAAGGATGTATAAAACAAGTACAGCCATCCAAGATTACCCAAAGAAATTTCCAGAGATACGTCCAAATTTTTCTTACACAGATAATGTTTCTTTTCAAGATAAAGCTGTAAGTACCATTTATTGTTTTTGATATATTGTTATATATAATATGTAAAGAGATGTTGCTTTAATAGGTTTTAGAGAACAAATGGTCATCAGAAACAAATAATGGTTTATTAGGTAAAGAAATTCAATTGCTCGATTATGTGTATATCAATGGATATCCCTGTCTTGATGGGATGTTTCAAAAGATACCCGAAGAAGGAGTCACAACAGAATTTACTGAGTACGCAAGGTTGACGGTGTTTGCAGTATCTGTAACGTGTATATCTGAAAAAACATACAATGAAAAGTTGTCTATGTGGATGAATACCGTTATTTGCCGAAGATATACAAAGAAGTAAAGGGAAGTGGAAAGTTCTTGCAAAATAATGTTGAGGTCTATACAAGTGAGATGAAAAAAATGATTGCGACATTTATGATGATTCTTCTTTATTCAGAAGTGAAATACCTGTTGTAAAAAGAACGAAGATTTGAAAAAGAGTAAATATTTGTTTTTAGAAGAACACAACTGAAGAGACGTCTCTGATTTTGACATACATTGCCACGCTCCTGAGCAACTTCCATTATGATAATTGTTTAAACAAAAGTTATCAACACGAACATGAAGAAATGAACTTTTATTTCTTTATTATTCATTCATTTATTTACAAAGGAATTTAACAAACCAACATTACAAAGTAACGATATATATAAAAATAAGTCAACATTTATACAACTCATTTTCAATAAATTCTTGTATAAAATATACTTTAGTCATTTCATTAAGAAAATTGAGAACGCGCTTATAGCGATGTTGGAGCGTTATCGAAAGATGAGTATCGCTTATATTGTAAACGCGATAATTGCGCGTTTTTACAGCGTACTGCTAATAACTAATTGTTCTGATGTCATTGTGCTCGGATATATCCGAAAGGGCGGGATAACCTACAGCGGTAATTGGCCAATTTAATATTAAAAATTGTCTAATTGATGGTCCAGCGGAAAGACTCTAGGCCGATGCTATCGCGGTAACGGGACCCTCCCTGAATCACTCGTAACTTGTGAGTGGTATCCAATGAGCGTACAGCTATTCCGTAAAAGCAAGCATTTATGCTCTGGGCCGGATATCTATACGCGAGAAACGCGACCGATCTGTCATGACAGATAGGGATCTAGGTTCCTCAGAATCAGCTGTTGAATGCATCACATGTATTCTTTTTTTCATTCTGCCGAGTCACATCAGTTCTATGATATGCCAGATAGAAAAGTGAAGTGAAGCCAGTGAGTTCAATGATCATTCTTCAACTGAATATGGCTGGGAATAGAATTTCATGAGAGAAAGAAAAGTTGAGCTCCCAATGAGAAATTGATTTTAAAAGGTCAGTTTAATCCTTATAAGTGAAGAAATAACTTTGCCGAAATGCGTATGTTTGCACGGAAGTATATGATTTACATTACCTTGTTGTGGAACATCATAATTCAACCAAATTTCCCATTGAACTAAATCGATCTCAAATCATGCTCTTCCCTGTTGCTCATTATTTCGTGGTAAAAATTTCATCAAATGAGAAATGTTTCTACAAGACTAAGATCGTGACATTATCGATGTAAATTTTACAGGGATAGAATATATAGCTAATAATTGTGAAATCTTTCACAAAAGTACTAAAGATAACTTGCTACTTTAACTATGTATATAATTATCATGTTAGCAGGTTCCCTATAGATTCAATCATTTTGTTATTTCACTGATGAGAACTGTGAATAATGTCAAAGTAATAGGATGTTGAGAATTCAATAATATTACCCTGCTTCAATAGACCGATAACCTATGTGTTGGATGTCGACGCTTTTTCTATACACTGAGATTTGTCTTGTAACAAATTTCTATCTTTTTGGGAGATAGAATAACGTACCAGTGTTAATGGATCGTTGCAAGAAATTCTTCGCCAGGAGGTAAGCTTCACCCCTAAATATTCGTTGTTAAATCTTAGGTAATATATTTCTACCGAGTGATTAATTTTAATCTTAACAGGCAAATATTGCGAAAAATATGGAAGATATGGGGAAAATGTTTCAAATAAAAGTTGTAGGGTTTGTAGAAGGACATAAAATGTCGACCTTAATTACATTGTCAATAATTCGAGATCATATTTTTCAACAGACTCATATAGGTTTTTTCACACAAATCATTATTCGTTTATTATGTGTATAAAAGTGCTAAGTTATCTAAATACTTTTCGAGTTGTTTTTCATTCTGTTCTTTTCTAGTACGAAAGATATGAAATATTCACTTTTTGATAACATAATCCACAAGTTTTTGTTTTTTTACATTATCCCTAATATATTTTGAGTATATAAATAGGCATATTGAACTTTTTTAGGCAAACTGAACCCTATCTCAATGATCTTGAAACTGAGCTTGAAAGAAAGGAACGATGGAAGAGTATATATGCAATTTACTTTACTATGTTTCTAATGTCTCTCGGCTTTAGTATTATATTGACTGGTGTTTGGCCGTACTTAGACAAGGTACGTAAACGGCTTTAATTATTTATATATTAGAATCATAAAAGTTGTATGTGCTTTCAAATATATTCATGCACATTTTTTAGTTGGATCCTGCAGCTGGAAAAGAATTTATGGGATATGTAGTGGCGGCTAATCCACTGGGACAAATGTTGTTTTCACCTTTGGTGGGTTGGTGGGGCAATAAAAGAGGATCAGTCAGATTACCGCTTTTAGCAACCCTAGCACTGTTCACTCTAGCATCCGCAGCTTACAGTATCCTTGAAGTGATACCCGGTGACAAAAAAGCTTACATGATTGTTGCTAGATTCTTCGTTGGAGTTAGCTCTGGTTAATAAAGTTCCCCAATGTTTATCGGTGCATTAGAAGAAAAAAAATTAACAATCATGCAAATATGTGTTGTTTTTCTCTTGTAGCCAACATAGCGGTAGCAAGATCTTACTTATCCGCAGCCACAAAACTTTCAGAACGTACACATGCAGTGTCGATGGTATCTCTTGCACAGGTACTTGCACCTTTACGATCGTGGCATTGGAAAAAAACATAAGAGGCGAACAATATAATGTACTTTTAGGTACTGGGTTTTGTGGTGGGCCCTGGACTACAAGCTGCTGTTACACCTCTCGGAGACCATGGTATTACATTTATGCTGCTGCCTTTAAACATGTACACAACGGCTGGTTGGATTAATGTAATAATGGGTATCTTTAATTTTATTTTGTTCCTCCCGTGGAATTTCAAGGAACACAAAATCGCTATAAAGGAAGCCATGCGTAATGAGGGGAAAGCCACTGGTAATATATTTCTTTCTGTCCGTCAAAATTGTATGTCAATCAAAATATATGTGATTCACCGCACTCTGTCGTAGAGGAGGAAACTTGGAAATCCTTGAAACCTGACTATCTGGCATCGTGGACTTTAATTTGCGCATTCTTCATCTTGGTCTTCAATTTCGTTCTTCTTGAGACGTAAGTATTTCTATATAAAATGTGAAGAAGGCTTCTATTAATACATATGTTTTCTTTGTTGATGCAGACTGGGCACATCTCTTACCATGGATCAATTCGCTTGGACCAAGCAAGAAGCGCTTTACTACATGGGAATATTGATGAGCATTGGAGCTATAATAGCGTGCATTACATTTGCCATGATTGGACCGCTCTGTAAGAGGTAATCCCTCCCGCTTATTACGATAACTCTTGTAATAGAAATTTGTAATAATTATTTATACTAATGAAACTTGTATAATTTTATAATTAGAATAATTTGTAACCATACAATTATATCATCGTTTATACTTCGCTGTTATATTTTCCTGTTTACAGATTTGCAGAACGTAAAGTAATGTTGTGGGGTGGATTCTTCTTTATGGTGATTGGACGAGTATTGTGCATCCCGTGGGGTCCTGATCCTCCTAAGATTGCGGATTTTGGGCGTGAGTATTTCTTTCAAACTGCGCTTGATACGATAATGTAGCATAGCAACAGGTGATTCTCTAACACAGAGGTATTTCCCTCAATATCTCGTAGCGTACAATAATATCACGGAAGACCTCAACGGCACAGAGATCGTGGGCTGTCCGATTACTCAGGAATGGTGTCTGTACACTCCACAAGTCACGGTTACTCAGTTTCTTATCGGTTACGGCTTTACCGCCATAGGTTATCCCCTAGGAGTCACTTTGATACAAACGATATTTAGCAAGATTCTCGGGCCGCGTCCGCAAGGCGTGTGGATGGGTTTGATGACAGGTGCGGGTTGTGCGTCTCGTGTGATGGGTCCAGTTTTTGTGGGCCTTATTTACACCCGCTTAGGTACATATCACACTTTCGGTATCACCGGCGTGACGTTAATTATCTCTATGCTGTGGTTGGAACTTGTGAAAAAGCGTTTGATTCCACCGGAGCTGAATAGGGCCGAAGAGACGCCGAACGAGCACGTCGAGACTCCTCTGGTACATTTAAGATCTGACCAAACGTCGCGCGAGATGTCTAACGGGATGTTGGACGCCCAGAAATTAATATTGACACAATCGGTTGACTAAGCAAATCTCTCTTCAATACTGCTGCAACAATGATCCACAACCGATCTTGCAATACGTAAATTGATCTAGATTTTTATTATATATATTATATATATTATATATATTATATATTATTATATATATTATATATATTATATTATATATATTATATATATTATAATATACATACGTATTAACGGAAATTATATACCTTTTTTTATATAATATAGGTATTTTGTCGTATATTCTGTGAGAGTGATCGAAATTCTTACGAATTTTCCTATGTTTATAACAAATTCAAAATTAATTGTGATAGTACAATCTATTTATATTCTGTTTTTTTTTTTTATACACGTCTGTATAAACAGTCTGTATAAACAGTCTGTATAAACAACAATATATAAATTCAAGTCACGATATGACCTTAGATAGAATTACGAAAAATTGCTATCGCAAACACGAAATTTCAATGGATAATCAGGTGACCGACTATTCTTCCAGTATTCTTGTTTTGTTTCCTTGAAGAAAGAAAGTTATAATATTATACATTTTTAGTTGAAACATCACATATATTAATGTGCGTGCGTGCGTGCGTGCGGTGTGTGTATCATTTTAATTAACCCCTCAACTTCTTTATTTTTGATTGTAGAAAAAAATACTGCAGAGTTAAGATGATATTATCGAAAAGTGAATACTTTATAAGTATTTCAACTTTTTTTGTATTAAAAAATATCAGAATGAAATCAGAATAAAATATCTCGAAAAGTCTTAACTTTTCGATGATCTTACCTTAATACTTTTATACGCGAATCGAACAGAGGAATCGATTTACGTGAAAGAAACTATACAATTCCATTAAGAAAAAATAACGTTAAAAATCAATTAAATTAAAAAAAGTTCCTTAGATTATAATCAAATAAAATGTATAAAATAGACGAAGAAGTCGAATTTAACATTAAAATGACTTTGAAAAAACGCCACTAAGGTGCAATTCAAGATCACAATATTATGTTCCCCTCGAAACCCCCTACAACTTTTGTCTGAAGCATTGTTTTCTACAATCAAAAATAAGTTTTTTTTTTTTTTTTTTTTTGAGAAAGGAGTAAATTAAAATGAATACCCTGCATATTAATACAATATTAATATGATATTTAATCAATATAATTCTATTTGGAGGAATAGTCAGAGAGAAAGAGAGATTGGTAATGGTGAATTTTTGCATAAATAATTTTTACATACGCACAACTGTATTATAAACTACAAATAATGTTCTGTACAAATCTATTAGACTCTGTTACAATTATTTGATTGTATCTAATGATTGTGCAAGATTGCTCAAAATTGTTTAATCAACTGACTGTTAATCTCGGAGATTTTCACTTATCAATTTTACAATGCAATTATCAACATGATAACTACTTTTGCTCAAAATATATTTAGATGTTGAAACGCTTATATTAGATCGTTTTATTTTTCAATACTTCGTTACTTTACACAAATAAATAAAAAATAAAGACAGGATCTTTATTTCTTCTTTTCTTATTTAACTTAAAGAACAAAGTCTGACGTAATAAAAAATTTTTTTAAATTTAGTTTTAATTTAGAAAAAATAAGGAGAGTTGAGACAGGTGTGTAAATATAATTATTAGCATACTTTTTTCTTATTGAAAAAAGCACTTCAAGAGAGAATAATATAAAAATCTATGATAAAAATGTGATACAAGCGCGTATAATATTAGAGTAAATTACTACATGTTATAACAAATTATAATAGAGATTATAGTAATATATATATATATATATATATATATATCATATAGGAAGTACCTATTACTTGAAGTGCAATTATATTTGTAGTACACAAAACAATTAATCATAACTCTACGAAAAGCAATATTGTAAAATAATGTATAAAGATATATATTTTTTTAGCATTTGTATGGACAATAAAATATAGATTTAACGCGATTTGCAAATGAAAATATATATTGTACTTACATTTATATGTATATCTTTTTATAAATTGAAGAAAAGAAAATAATGTGAAATATATAAAACTGAAATCAATACTCTTCGTTGTCTCCCAACAATATGAATATTTGATTCGTGTTTTATCCGTTCCTTTTTCGCACTACGGCAAAAATTGCTTATATCGCGCGTACTCATGTAAAATCTTTAACGCTACTTATGAACTATATTAAATAGAGCAAGTTGTCAAATGTTAAATTTTTCTTTTTATTTTTCTGATAGTAGAAATTATATTTAGTTATATAGCGATAGTAGAAATTATATTTAGTTATGTAAATTCATACACATGATCTTATATATTCTTAACGCGAATACAAACTTTAAAAACTAAAAAATGCTGCATTGTCAAAAAATCGACATATTATATAAACACATAGATTCTCATGGACGCTGTGCTATTACTTATATAAATGCTAACGATACGATAAGAGTGCATAATTGCTATGGATTACAAAAATGATTAGTACGTGTCCTCTTATGAGCTGTAAAAATGCAGATCCATTCGTATAAATAATATTCCTAAATACAATTAATCTTTCTTCTTTGGTTTCTTAGGATTGCGAGAACGCGACTTTGCTTTACAGAGTGGACAAATTGGTGCATTCCTGTGAATTTGTTGATGACAGGAAAGGCAGGATTTCATAGGCGGTGGTTGTTGCCTGTAAAAACGATAGGAACGCCTTCATTTAATCTGCAGCAATTTTGTAGATTTACATAGTGGATATCTAATATCCTTTGAAATGTCTATTCTTACATAAGAGATGTAATAAAGGGGTCGAGATATACCAGTGGTACCTGAATGTTGGAGCTGGGGGCCCCGGGGCTGGCGGTAATGGTCTGGGTTCTGGTTTGCTGGGCCCTTGAAGTGGTTGTGGAGCAAGAAAAGGCGTAGAACCACCCGGATGTCCAGGATGATGTAGTCCAAGCGGTGGTAACAGGTCATCACCTCGCACTTCTACCCTCCACTCTGCTTTCTGCATCGGGCGTTCGAAGTAGCTATGAACAAATCGTCTACACAATAAAAGTTTAACTCAACTCAGTCTGTAATTTAACTTTTAATATATCAGCTGACGGTAGAGATAGGATATTTTCACTTGACAATAGTCAATGTACTTACTCAGGTGAAATGAGATCTGATTCAGTCTCGTACAGTTCTGGTAACCTTTCCAAGCCCAGGAATTCTCTGCGCATACGGTCAATGTCGTGCTTCAGTGGTTGATAGTCATTGTTGTGAATCAATTTTGCAGTCTCCCTTGCTCTATTGCGAGCCTCTTCGGCTTGTTTAATTACAGACTCCATCTAACAGAGAGAAGCTTGCTGACAATTTGTATGTAATATTTTGTGTAGAATATTAGGTTCTGAGATGGCTCAAAGGATCTATGTAATATTGTTGCTCGATATTACATTAAATTTACCGCATTTATATCTGCATGTATTTGACGTAACTCTTCAACGTGTGCCATTTTCTCCTGCATCAGCAGATCCATTTCTTGTTTATATTCTAACAGACATTTCTCCTCTTGCTCAGTTTGTTCCACTTCTTGCAATATTCTCTGTTTCAATTTTTCCAACTGAAGGGTTTTCGACCTAGTGTCAGGCATAAAGGAAATTGTAAGTAATATCGAAGAAATTTTAACCGAATAATATTCGCGCGATACCTGATATCTTTCAAAGCTTCCAACTTGGCGAAAATCACCACTGTCTCGGATGCTGACATAATCTCTGATATTGACGATCGCCGTTACAAGCCCCGAGTGGAATTTTTAGTCCAGTGACCTTTTGCTCATTGAATTATCGTGAATCCAGTATCGCAGCAATTAAAACGATCGAGGGATGATCGTTGAGCATGGCATTTGGAACGGTGATCAGTCACTTGGATTGGCTATTGTGTTTTGGGGAGCTATCTGTCAAAGCTGTCAAAGGGTATCGCGAGAACGAACAATTAATCGTTTCGTCGGTTTCGTCTATCCGCGTGAGATAGTAAACTTGGAATCTTTTCGAGATAAGGACGCTCGCGCCATCTAGGGGTGCTCGCGACATTTATTAACTTTTCTCATTTAGCTCTCGCTGCGCTGAAATGTACGTTTCTCCAACTGTTCCATACGTCGAGCTAAAAAGCGTTTCGCTTGAATTCCGACGTTTTTTGTCGGCCACCTGAACTCTCTAGGGACTCTGCTCTAGGTGAACAACGAATCCGCCGGAGAATCCGTTCTCGATTAATCGCGATTAATGTGCAAGCAGTCGCGCGTGCGTGCGACGGCGGCGCTGTCGACGGGATTGCGCATGCATGGTTTATCGGCTGGCTGGAGGGGCGTAGAAAGGAGGCCATATTGTACAGTTAAATTGAAAGAAGGAAAATAATTGTATCGCCGTGCGATCGCTCCGCTACGTGCGTCCGCGCCGCTCCACCGACGGCTTCCCCGACCTGTGTGTGTCGCGTCGCGACCCGTCGCTCATAATCGCACGCGGCAGCGAGAAGAGCAACCCACGGGAGAGCCAATCGGCGGCTCCTGGTCCACCGTCTTTGTATATAAGTCATACATCGCGCAGTAGTACGGCTCGAGCCTAAGACCAACCCGACTCGCTGAAAGGTGCTTGTTGCTGCGGTCGAGATGGGCACTCGGGACGACGAGTACGATTATTTATTTAAAGGTAAATCGCGACTCTTCTCCTCTCTCTCTCTCTCTCTCTCCTGCATGCTTGCGGACACAACCGTCGCGAATGCTCGAGAGAAAGGGAGCTCTCCTCGCAGCCCTCAACATCGGGAAGCACTCGGGGAGTCGCTTCCATTTTATGGAACCGGATTGTACGTCACGACGAATGTCAGTTCGCACAGACGACGTTGGCATCGACGGCGATACGCGCGCGCGATGACATCAGAAACGATGACCCACCGCGGAGAGGAAGCCCACGCTCATCGCTGCGACAGCCCCCGGACTCCCTCGTCGGCGAGGACGACGAGGGGAACTGGGGGATGAGGCGATGAAGATCATCCGCGTCGATTTCCTCTCCCTCCTCGCTCTGACTCTCTCGCGCGCGCAAGAGAAAAATAATGCCGACGTGCAGATCACGATTATTACATTACGTATGTAATTGGACGGGCAGGCGTGATGTACGTGCATGTATTGAGTATATGCGCGATGCATGATTGCGTGCCCGCGTAGCCCACACATATATGTGTGTAAATGTGTGCGTACACTTGCATATGGAGGTTTTTTCGACGCTGTCATTCCACACTTTCGAAGGCACGATCGGTTTTCCGGCGGTTCCCCCCCCCCCCCTTTNTCTATCCGCGAATTCTTCGCGGCAGTTAACGTTAATGAATTAATTGTGCGCCCATGGATGATCAAATTATTCGACTATTTCGCATTGTCACTCGGTGGGCGACTCCCTCTTAGTTTCCTCCGCGCTCTTGACTTCAAAAGAGTCTAATATAATCATGTGCACTTGGGTCTGTCATTGTCGTGATTTGAATGCACAATGTTGTGGGCTGCCGTCTCGTCGTCTTCCCACCTTGTTTTGGACATTCCTGAAGCAATTGTGTAGAAATGACATATATAGTTGAGAGTGGGAAAGATATATTAAGCAAAAAGGCAGTCATCGTTAATTATTTCTCAACATAAATGAATGATAATTCTCAGGACAAATGTACTCTTATAAATATGTCCATTAGGTACATTTTTACTTCGTGTGTTCACAATGTGTTTCATTCATCATGCATTACTTACATGTGTGTTATACTTTGTTAGCAATGTATTCGAAATCAAAGGGACAAGCACACATATTTTATCTGCTCTTTTTTTGATGCTTTATTTCCAAGACATCCGAGTAGTAATCAGCAGGAAAACACATACACATAACTGTGCTGTATGATGTGGCACTGATTCACTCTCAGTCTGTGGTGTGGTCTCGTAGATAAAGAGTTTTGTACAGTCAAGCTCTTACTTCTAAAGTCAACTATTTTTAAGGTCATGCAATCTTTACACTTTCATTTAACACGATCTACTTGATCTCAATTATAATATTTAATTGTTCCCTTTTAGAAATATTCTTAGTATTAGTAATATATTTCTAACTAACGATTTTGATATGTATCCGAATATATAAGAAGAGAAATGTCTTTAATTTTATAATACAATATTCCCAATAGGGTATTATAATAAATAATTTAGACAACTCTTGCATACATACATGTTAAAAGAGAAAAGCAACATTTCACAATATTATTATTAGATACCATAATAGTAGTATCTTCAAAACAATTCCATCCATAGCATGATGATCATTGTGATAGTTACAATTCTAAAAAAATCTTTCTTTTTCTTCACTCTCAAGCATATCGCCAAGACTCCGCGTGTATATTTTGACAGCTAGTTTCATATCTGTCTCTAATCGGTCCTTTTTGCCTTTTCAGTTGTCCTCATTGGAGACTCCGGAGTAGGAAAAAGCAATCTCCTATCTCGATTTACAAGAAATGAATTCAACTTGGAGTCAAAATCTACCATCGGAGTCGAATTTGCAACACGCAGTATACAAGTAGATGGTAAAACCATTAAAGCCCAAATTTGGGATACAGCTGGGCAGGAACGTTATCGCGCGATCACCTCCGCGTAAGTCCACGAATAACACACAAATTGTCTTTAATAATATGTCATTATATTGTGTAACGTGGATTATGTATAATTTTCTAAGTCACTAAATCTTCAACATGTCGAATCATATTGATGCGACATAATAAATTGTAATTTTTTGCATTCGCAATTTATATTAATGATCTTTTCCGAATTGTTAGATATTACCGCGGAGCAGTTGGCGCACTACTCGTATATGATATCGCAAAACACCTGACGTACGAAAACGTAGAAAGATGGTTACGAGAATTACGGGACCATGCTGATCAAAACATTGTGATCATGTTAGTGGGAAATAAATCAGACTTAAGGCATCTGCGTGCTGTTCCGACTGACGAGGCTAAGGCGTTCGCTGAGAGGAATGGCTTGTCTTTCATTGAAACATCTGCTTTAGACTCTACTAACGTTGAGACAGCGTTTCAAAATATATTAACAGGTAACAGATCTTGTTCGATACCGTCATATGAAGCTAGCGTACACTGAACTGAATTGTTGAGCGTCGTAGTTGGAATTGTAATACAGCTAACATTATGTTTTCTTCATGACAATCGCCTTACATATCATTATCGATGCTATATGTGTGTGTGTTTTTACATACAAGTTTTCTATAGGATGCAGAATTTATTTTCATGTAATTTAATAGAGAGATATATATATAATCATATTTTGAACTCCCTTTTATCGATCAAAATGCCTGAAATGAGACTTTTCCGATGGTTCCTAAGCCACTGTGCAGAAGCACTTTCATCGATAAAAGTGAATTCAGAATATGGACCTTAGATATTTTTGATTGATTACTAACTTAAATTCTGTCTGATTATTCTGTATTTTTATAGTTCGCATATATAAAGACACATAATAATTTTTCATAATTCTGTAACTTTTCAAAGAAAATTTTCATAAATTTTCATAGAGATAGAATTTAGTAAAATTTGTTCTATTCCGGTGTTGAAATATTTATCGTACGCTAAATGAATTTGCCAACATTGCGATATAATATAAAATTCGCAATTCGTTCTTTTTGCAGAAATATACAGAATCGTATCGCAAAAACAGATACGAGACCCACCTGAAGGTGATACAATCCGGCCACAGAACGTAGAACAAATTGAAGTCAAACCAACGATGAATGCTGAGGGAATGCGTAAGCAGTGCTGCCAGTGACTCACCTTGTTGCTTAAAATGTGTGTACACGTAAATACAGTATGAATATCACGGAAGTACAGTTGGATAATATCTAATTTCTAACAAAAGAAAAAAAAGATTTAGTCTATGGTGCAGTAAGAAAATGAAAAAAAAAATTGAAAGTTTCTGGGGTAATTCTTTGTATGCTAGGATAGATTTAATATAAGGAAATTATGGTTAGTTAATTATAAATGTTAACTTGATTGTAAATTGAGTTAATTTTAACATATATCATAATTAAATATTACTAAAGACACTTCCATCACGTTTTTTTATTCCAATAATTTCTGCTCTACGTACTGTGTTTCCTTAATAAAGGATATAGTCGCGAAAGATCATTCATCGTAATTTTTCAATCTTCACCGTTATACATTTTTATAACCAAGTCCCAAGTTAGGTTTTTCTTTTGAAGCCGCATGAAAAATTAAATCCCTTAGGATCGTTGACTCTAACTGAATTGGAAATTCTGATGTTAAGCTATGACACCTCCATATGAGTCACTCTCAATGCTACTAAGCTCTTTCTCCGTCTTATTTTCTATTATTTTTCTTTATATATAGTAGAGATATTTCCTGTAGCCTTTTCAAGGTCTATATAGTTCCCATGACATAACACATACGATATTTGTTTAATCGGATCGGTTATTTGTACTTCAGTAGAGAGTACATTAACACACTCACACATCTAAAGTATGTTCGAAGAGAGCCAAATAAAAGAAAAGGTATGTTAACGATGCGTTAGAGAGCCAATGTATATTTCGTATTTTTATTAAGTGTTACTCCTGAGATGTACCGTAGTTTGATTATTCAGATTGATATGTATATATATATAATTGCGATATATTTTTGTTTTAGATCTCGATATATTTATTTATAGGCAATTCTCTATATGTATGAATCATATAATACTTGAGAGACATCAGAAATATTTTGTTGTAAATTATCTTCGTTTCGCGACCTTTGGTAGTCGAGCAGTCCTATTAGTTTACGGCATTAAATATCGATCATATTTTTCTTGTATTTAGAATGACCTCAGGCACATTTGTTGCTCACAGATTGACCGACGGTTCCGTGATTCTTTTCTTTTGCAGAAGCGGTTATACGGCGAAGAAGATAACGGAAGTACTAGCTGGTGGTAGATATAGCGGGTGCATCACAGAACAAAAATTAAGACTATATGCGCGAGCATGTAATCTCGTATGCTAGAAGAGGTTTTATTCTTACTGAATTACCAGGACATCCATTAGACATCCATATGTGAGCATATACGGTACATATATTCTTGGTAATAATCGAGTAAGGATAAGCGCCGGAGAGAACTATACGATGCTGTAAATGCAAATATGCACCATTCTGTCCGCGATAAGAAAAAGGGGGGAAAATGAAAGAAATTCATCTCGACTCTCTCTCTCTCTCTCTGTCTCTCTATATCTGTCACGATATAAATTGTGTTATTATAAATGAATGTTGTATTTTACTGCTTCTTTATAATACATATATATATATATATATATATATATATATATATATATGTATATATATATATATATAAATAAATATAACAATTCTTCTTAACGCGTAGTATGGTCGTGAAAAAGCAGTTTATGGTCGTATATGCAATTGAGTATCATGAACAAGTTACTATTGTGCACTGTGTAGAAGGAAACAAACTAATGATAAGTAAATGGGCTTACGGCGATACAAATACACGCGGTTGAAAAAGGAAAAACAAAAAAAGAGAAGAAAAGAAACCAGCTGATTCGAGATAGTCCTTTCTCGTTGCTCACTCTCGGCTCTTCGTAAATATAGTACTAGTCTGTACAAGCTTGGGCACTACATGCTTCGGGATTAACTTTATTTTTACACAGAGCTTTCCGCCGAAACCTCTTCTTACCGAAGCCGAAATTGTATTACTAAGAACGAAGCTGTATAGTAGGCATTTTTTTTTTTTTTTTCAAAATCCTAATAACTAACGTTGCTTTCTGTGTGGCTGTACTGTAATACGTTATCGTCACGCGCTTTTATTGTATCCTAAATAAAATAGAGAGTGAATAAGATGTTGATGTATAAAAATGAAGTGTGTCCACTCCTCTTTGACGGATTATATGAAAGAGATCGACAGTTTCCAATCCACCGCTCTTTACATAGTAATCTAGCAAGATTATCGGATAAAAAGGAAAGAAGCAAGATTAATAAAAAATAACTATAGTGCATCGTGCGTGCGTTTAACCTGATTTATAATATAATTTATATATTATTATCGCGAATTTTGTGTGGGTGTGTGTATGTTGTACATACATACATATATATATATATATATATACATATATATACACACATATATATATATGTATGTGTGTGTGTGTGTGTGTGTGTGTGTGTGTGGTGTGTATCCGTGTAAGAAAATGTGAGAAATAATACTACGTTGTTTCTCGAAGCAATCTTAAAGATGATAAGATAATCATGAGCATGATTACTATTTGATATAGCAGGCTTATTACTTTATTATGGACAACTCGGAACTGTAATGTGTATAAGCAATGTCAAAGTGACCATAGTTTTCTACAGATATATCTTTGACTTATTCTGTATCCTTAGGCTGCATCGAGTTCTGAAAACTTAGGGGAAGCGAATTTCATTTTTTTTTATGCTAAGTGAAATAGATTTATACAGTTGAATACATTGAAGAATAATTTAAAATATTATAAGATTGTTTTATCCTTTCATTTCATTGCATACAAAAAAAAGGGATATTATATCTATAACAATATAGATTATTATTAATAATGCCTTGTATTTCGTTATTTTATTAATAAAAAACCAAATTTGCTTTTAAAAAGAAGGAATGTTTGTAATGAATGCATCTGCAGAATGGTGTAAATCCTATTTTCACGTTGCGACAGCAACATTCAATCAACGTTGTTCACGTTAAATAAATATCACGCTACACCAAAGATTCAATAATCTATTACAAAGTCTTTTACAAAGCCGCTATTTATGACAGTAAGTCACAGGCGAGAACAAAATTCATAAAATATAGCATGTGCTATCAGATGTAAAGATCAATAATTGGAACAAGTAGGTTCTTATCATGACGATATATATATTATTTTATACAATGTAAATATTGTATAGTAATAATTACAGATTATTCAGTCTTGCAACTTGTTATATTTTTAAATTGATACTACTGATATAAGGCACAAAAGTGTGGATATATATATATATATATTTTATAAAAATAATTATGCGGTATTCTCGGTCAGAAATGAAGTTGATGAGTCGCTTATACTAAATTTATACAATTTAGCATATAGCAAATTATTATGTATTTTTAGTAGGAAACATTACCGCGAAATATCTCGTTTGAACAGTTAATTAAACGTTAAGGCTCCTGTGCCCCTCGCTATCTTTGTTTGATTACAAAATATATTACGATATACGTGAAGAAAAAAGAATATATGCACAAAATGACGATCGATTCGGCACACTTGTAAAAATATCCGAACGCCTTCCTGAACAATCAATAAATAGCCGTAAAATTAATGTAGCAGAAATTATAAGATAGATTAAAAACACAAGTTGTATGTCATACTAATTTTCAGCTATTTAATGAATGTTGAGGAAAGCGTCTAGATATTTTTACAAGTGTGCCGAATCGATCGTCATTTTGTGCATATATTCTTTTATCTCCTAGTATATTACATTTTGGCATGCGATTTTTCACTTACGACGTCATCAAAGGACAACGAGGATCTAAGAGCCTTAATTATCCAAACGATACTCTTATAATATGTGCATAGTAAAACACATATGAAGAAGGAAGAAACTAACCAGAAACGACCCATTACTGCTTATTAACCTTCATAAAAAAAATTGCACTACAAAAAAAGGATTTCCCGCAGGAATGTCGAACGACAAATTTCGAGCAAGAACATTGTACAAATTGTTTCAAAACAACGTTTGTACTCTCTTCTCTTAATTGAACTTAACATATAACTTTTGCGTTTCGCAAAATATTAATATTATAATCATTATCGTTTGAGTTCACTGAAAATGTGGGACATTATATTCAAAGAGAGAACATCAAGAGATGCTGTATTATTTCATGCTGCTATTTACAAGTAAAAAAAGCTACGGAGGTGCAGGCATAGATGCTGGCTCCAGGCGGACGGTGTTCCTCTGCGAATTACTGTGATTTTTCTGCCGCCACTCGATCCATCGCGATAATTCCGGGTTTTGAGAGGTATCATTAATGTCACTACGAGCTTCTAATTGTTGATAATACGCCTCTCGGAGCAGTCGAAAGGTCTGTACGTTTTTGTACGGCAATTGCGTCATAGGATCCAAGTATTTAGCAGGCAGCCTGAGGAACAAGAAATTCTTAGATTGAGATATATATATATAAAGTTAATCTCTTAATATAACTTAATACTCGTTCAATGTTATTTTTACCTCGTGACTGCGCATAAAGGTTTTAACGGAGGCCTTTGTTGTGTGGACTTTTTGAATATATCTTGGTACGATTGGTCCTTTTCGAAGGTGATAAACGTGCGTGAGTAAAATGTCCCTGTCTCTTCGCCACGAATATCTTTTTTCTTGGCGGGGGCAGGGACTGCCGCGTCAGCAGATTCTTCCTTCTTATCATCCGTTCCATCTGCTTTCGATTCTGTTCCACTGAAATAAAACGCTGTTGAGTTTATCCCATATTTTTTTACATTTATGTGTGGAAATTTACTTGCAAAAATAAGAAAATATTTTCTTATTTGAACACGATACGATATTACTATTATAATACAAAAAAGAAGTACACATTTTGTATGTAATATATATATATATATACCTTCTTTCTTTCACAAGGACAGTTTCAATATCTAAGTTAGAAGTATTTGTATTTTTGTCGTCATCACATTTGTCGACATTACTCCTTTCAACGTGATCGTCCCCACAAGTCTCGGATAACACCATAACTGGCATAGACAGCGATTGATACCTGATCATCGGACCAACATGTGTTTTCCTCACAGTTCTAGTATTTTTTTTTTCACTTTCTAACTTCTGATATTTTTCTATAATAGGGAAACAAACCGATTATAATTAATTTTCAAATTGAAATAAAGGTACCTAGATAAAAGAGAAAAAAAATATTCGATTTCATTCATACCTAATGACTTCATATTAATTTCTTCTGTTTGCAGTGCTTCTTCCAGTAGTTCCTCCTGTGTCGGTTTCCATACATCGTGCCTTACAATCTTTATCTTCCGTTTCTGATCTTCATTTCTCTGACGTAAGCGTTTTTGTGTAGCTGCTGATTTTGCAGCAGTAGAACGACGTATCGACTTTCTTTCTACGCAGGATATGTCGCAATGTGTATAATCATATATTGTGAAAATAAACTGTCGTGTCACATTATTATACCTATGCTATCTATAAAAATCTTAGTTTGCTTCGGTTGTTTTATCTTCTTTTCCTTAGGCGTTGATGAAGTATGTGATGTTGCAGCTTTAGGTTCCTTATAAGCCTTTGTTACCAATCTACGTTTTTTTCTCGGACCTTCTTGTTCAGTATCAGAAACTGGCTCATCATTCTCATCAATGCTAAAATCAGAGTCTACCTCATCTTCTCCTTCATCTTCTTCCCTGAAATTCAAGGAACATTTACAATACAATCTTGTAGTTGTGAGTTATTATTACATAGATATTATATATATAACAACATGTAATCATGATCCTGCTCCACTTCGTCGAAGCCGCCATATGTAGTTTTATAAAATTCATCTTCCTCCTCTTCGTTTAATAATCTTGCCATTTTATTTCCAGCATTTATACGTCTATCTCTTGTCGCAGCCATTATTTACAGAATTTCCTGATGTCACTCTCAAGAGATAGAATGAGTATGTATCTGTTACCTGGTTTTTTACCTTAAGTTTGAAAACATGTAAAAAGGCATTAAATATTATATGACGTTACTTTTACATTGGGCAAAAAACATTCGATTTCTATGCTTTTCAAGCACAACTTTAGGCTTAGGTTAGCATATTCAATTAGTGAGTTAGAATTTGATATAGTTGTATCCCAAAGTAATAAACACACAAGTTAGTAAAATTATTTGAATATTTAAACATGAGTTTAGATTTAGGTTAGGATATTGTTGTGGAATTTTTACTTTTGGGTATTATTTTACAAATTACACTACTTTGGACGCACGCACTATCATGTATTTATAGAAGTTTATAAATAATTATATATCAATTAGCTTAATTTCCAGCACAGCAATCTAATGATTACAAACATCTCCTATCGAAGCTAACTGCATTATCGCAGGATGGTATACACTGCCCCAGAAAGTGTTGGATATTTATTCCTGCCATCTTACGACTTACGAAGAAACGATTGTCATGAAATAATGGGTGAGGAGGAGGCAGCAGTACGTGATAAGAGATTAGTACTTGACATCCCCGTGTTATATAAAAGAAATATAATAGTTACCATATCAAATTTATATTCTCAAATTGAGGTGTATTTCTAATATAATAATATTAGAGCCATGTTTGATAAACCAGCTCTTTTTTTACATATATATAATCTATTAATATATGTGATATTTTAAATGTGATATCTGTAATGTGTGATATTTTAGGTTTATTTTAGCGTATATGATTTCCAAACCAAGTCTATATATAGCAATGGCATTATATCAAGTGCAATGTAACACAATTATATTAGTAAATTGATGTGTTGTCACTTAATGTTTACTGAGATTGTAGTTGCCTTCTGATATCCACTACTGAAAATCTATAATAGACATAACATGAATGATAGATTTTCAGTACTAGCAGTGAACATCAGAATGTAGCCTACATATTTGCCTATCGTATATTTAATATATAATAGAAAAAATGTATGATGGGATATATTAAAAAAATTTGTGATATATCAACATAAGCATAGATTTTATCTAATTATAATGAATTAGTAGTACACTGTGTTACTACAATAATATTCTATGTATGTAAAATCAACGAGATAGAATTAGCATTTATAACTTTCTGCAATATTATCGCACAAAAATCCTCAGATAATAAGTATATATTTCAAGGTTATTCTGTTACAAATCGGCGAAGAGAATCTCACAATCATGTCCAGATTAACTCTCGAGCAGATTTTAGAAAAAAACATAACACAGAATGAGGAGCTATCTGAAGTAAAACGTATTTTATATGGACGTGATTTACCGTAAGAATTCGTACCTATGTATAAAATCTATTTTAAAAATCGATATATCGTGACGCAAGTATCTTTCAAATTCAAATTTTATTATTAGGTCATTACTTTTACCGGAATGGAAATTTGAAAACTTTGAAGCGAGGGGTTTCCAAATAGATTGTACGATTTCAGAAGAACTTCGCGACTCACGTTACGTGTGTGTAGGACTGCTACAACATTCGATTGTACTGCCCACGACGGAACCTATCGAAAATCAACGAAACGCTATCTATAAGAAAATTGAATCGTACATAAACTATGCAGCTACTGCCAAAGTTGAAATCCTATGTCTCCAAGAAGCGTGGAGTGTGTAAAAATGTAGTGTATATAAAAATGTCTTCCAATAATCCTTGTAATAATCGATAATTACTAACATTATTGCAGACATGCCATTCGCTTTCTGTACAAGGGAAAAGTATCCTTGGTGTGAATTCGCGGAGGACGCTGAGACCGGGCCATCGACTCTACTCTTGTCTAGGCTCGCCGAGCAACATAAAATGGTAATAATATCGCCGATCTTGGAGAGAGACTTCGCTGACGGCGACACTATTTGGAATAGCAGCGTGGTGATCGACGCGGACGGCAAAGTCCTCGGCAAACATAGGAAGAATCATATTCCTCGTGTCGGTGATTTTAACGAGTCCACCTACTACATGGAAGGAAACACGGGTCATCCGGTTTTTAATACTCGCTACGGGCGCATCGCGATTAATATATGCTATGGGCGTCATCATCCGTTGAACTGGTTGATGTTTGGCTTGAACGGAGCAGAGGTAAGAGATTTCGTAGTTTCTCTTGCGATTAAGCTAATCGACGATTGCCGTCAAGTGTTACTACCTGCCCTTCCTTTCTCAATGTGGTGGTTTTGGTTAAGCGAAAGTTTATCTCACACTTGCTTGATTGTCATTGGACCAACTTTCGCGTACTTTTCTGCCAAGACTTTTTTCAACTTGTCGCAGAGTTAATTGTAGATTCGTTTGAAATCGCGCGTTTTCCCGCACAATATAGTTATAAACATTTTACTCTAATGGGATCGACGTGTTAATTAATATTTCTTAAATATATTTCTGTCGTTAATATGAATGGTCTATAAAAGGATTTAATATTCGATCAACTCTTATGCCTGTAGTAACGAGTTCAGTTCTACCGACTTTTCGCAAACCTTTCTCTCGATCGAACTTTAGTGAAAAATCACTCCGAGTGAAGGTCACGTCGAACAGTAGCCTTGTATGCTTTCTGATGTTTTTTTTTTCCAGATTTCAGAACGCTCGTGTGGCCGCGTCAATAATAATCATTCTTCCTTTTGTAGATCGTCTTCAATCCATCAGCAACTATCGGAAAATTATCCGAGCATATGTGGCCGATCGAGGCAAGGTGTGCCGCAATAGCAAACAGCTACTACACTTGCGCGATCAATCGTGTGGGAACCGAATTATTCCCTCATAAATTTACATCCGGCGACGGAGGTGAGGCTCACAACGATTTAGGACCTTTCTATGGCTCCACTTATATCACCGCCCCCGATGGTTCACGAACTCCAGGCCTGAGTCGGGAAAAAGACGGCCTGCTCATTGCAAAACTGGATCTCAACGTGTGTCGACAGATGAAAGACATATGGGGATTTAGGGTGAATACTCTTAGAAATATGCCAGATGAAATGAATGTAGAAAAATTAATCGTTGCGTTAAAGCTTCCGGTCCTTCGCTGCGGTCTTAGTTTGACGACAGAAGCGCGCATGTTCAAAATTTTTGTGAAATACGTTGAAATAAAAAGATATATCTATAAAATGACTCTTAGGATGATGGATTGAGCACGGCAACTTTTCCTTTTGCTCTAACAATCAATAAAATTAACATAACATGCTACCTTCCTTTTTGGCCTATCTTTTCTCATGATTTGTTTGTCACATTAATTCCACGGCTATTTATTAAGACTGTTAAAGTAAAAGGGAAATTTTCGGAATATTAAAAAAATTTGTTCGATCGATCATAAATATCATATGTTACGGCATACGTTTTCTCGCTTCTGACGTCGTTAATTAAGATGGATGCAGCGAGGAAAAGCAGAAAATGAATAATATGTATATTAATAAAATATGATTTATGTTTTTTGTGCATTTTCCAGATGACGCAAAGACTTGACATGTATGCCAAAGAACTCGCTGAACATGTGAAGCATGATGGCAAATGAAATATGTGAAAACAGCAACCGTGGTGGCGTTATTTTACGTATAAGATTATAATTCAATATATATATATATATATATATATATATCGTGTGTATCTGGGTTAAGTGCATTTATATGTTACTCTATTTTACATTATATTACTCTATTTCCCTCGCATTAACGAAGGGAAGAGATATTTATACCAAGATACATAAATCATTTCTGATCTCAATCCTTACGGGAGCTACTTCAACAATGCGCTTCTGTATGTTCAGAATCAACACATCTAATGCAGAAAAAAGAAAAAAAAAAACTGTATCATAAAACAGATACTGAATATTGTTCTATGTCCAAGATTTATTCCATGTATACAATTCAATTATAATAAAATCGTACAAAGATTATCATACCAAAAGCAGTAAAAATATATGCTTTACAATATGTAAAGTTCTCCCGTTTGGCGATCAATTCCGCCGTCACGAAAAATGATAAAAATTATTATAAATTATAAAATTATGAAATATCTATTTACCATTTAAATACGAGAACTTTTTTATGTACTTATATAATTACCAACACACCTTGCCGTTCTTTAATTATATTCAAAATGTATTATAGCAAATCTGAATTAAGGTGAAAAAGATACTCGAAAAATTAAAACATATCGTTTTCCTGGTAATAAAAATATGATTTTATTTGTATTAAACTAAACATCAAATACGATTTTTACTTGGTGTACATAGGAATCACAGAGATAAAATCGATGCCCAGCAACACTGGGCATACGATCGCGAAGAGTTAACTCTATAATAAATTAAAGAATTGAAAAGTAAAATGAAATAAAATCTATAATAAGTAAGTAAAAGTACTACTTACAACATTCCTAACTTCTCCATCGATATTTATGACATTTAACCGTTCGATGCACTATTTAACATAGTGTTATGCGTTTGTTTACGATAAAGCAAGGCTTCGTGATACGCTTTTTTTACGGCTTTTCTATCAGTGGGTTTGCGCGACTCGATTAGCTTTGCATCGTCCACTTCCTGCGATACTCCAAGTTTCTCCAACTTTTCACCTGGCAGCCACTGCCTGTAAAGCGAAGTGTTAAGTATTCCGAGATTATATTCGGTGATTCCGATTTTAGTAGTCTTTACCATGTGCGCTTTGTGTCAAAGAAAAGCACCAGGAAGACTGGATCCTTGTAATTGTCCGCCAGCGCCAGTACGTCATCGGGCGGTGCCGGGATCGGCACTCCTTTATGCACAGTACCTCGGGGTGTGTTAGGATCAATGATCAACGCTGGATACCAAGGATATCCGCGACACTTGGCCCAGACTAGCTGCAACGCTTCCAGACCACTGCTGGCACTCGTCTGTTTACTTTCGTTTTCCTTCTTCGCGTCGACGATCTCTTGTCGTTGTTTCTCTACTTCCCGGTCAGGAGTAGTTGATCTACTTGTGGGACAGCTACTACAGCTCGAAGATTGGCTTTCTCCCTCGCCGACATCACTATCCATTGTCCCGCTCCTGGAGATTTCAAAGTGATCTCTCAGACTGCTGCTGATATTGTCCGGAAAACTTAAGGTAATTATCGATGGAAAGTGAAACTTCTCTCAAAACAACAAGTTGCTGCAAAATTTGCATACACCTGTTTGCTCGGTACATCAATTACATACATACAAGCAATCGATTTAGAAACAATAGAGCGAAAAAAAAAAAGAACAAATCACTGTAAAAACATACCTGTACACCTTAAAGCTGTCGCTTTGTTTCTTCCTGTCGTCCTCTGGAACGAACATCTGGCCGCTTCTACTGGCGCGCGCTCTGGCTTTACGCGTAAACAGCACCGCCGTTCTTCTGTTCACACCACCGCTGCCCGAGACCTCCTTCTCGGTGGACTGCGCTTCCGTTTCGACGCGACTGCGATTAGTTCTTTCTCTTTTCCTGGATTTAGAGGCAACCTGTTCAGATTCGATGACCGGATCGAGCTCAGGGTACTCCTTACGAGCTTGCTCTATCAGCGCTCCACCTTGTTCTCTCATTTTCACTCCTGCACGATAAAACATGGTATCCTTGCGATTGTACTCGAGACAGTTGTTCACCATCAAATTGAAATCGGCCTCGAAAGCCCCGATGGAATCGTACTCTTGTTTTTCTAATTTCGCCTATAGTGAAAAATACGACGATTATATACACGTTTGATCTCCACGGATTGTTTCCGAACACGTTTCGTGAACATTCCAATTTACTCTTTCAGAGAGAGGAGTGACCTGAAAGTGCCTCTTCTACAGGACGTCCCATTTTTAGCAAACATCTCGACAGACAGAAAAAAAGTTACGTTTAATCGCCGTCAGCGATGGCGTTGCCAAAGTCAAATCAAAATTAAATTGTTTACAACCAATATGGCCTTTTTAATGTAAATCGGTTCCTCTGGCCAATCTCTATAAAAATACTAGATATGTAAAAATACTATCATCGAAAGTGAATATTTTTCGAGATATCTTACACTTTTCAGTATAAGAAATGGTAATATTCACTTTTCGACAGTTTCAAGATATTTCATTACAAAATGGGACACCCATTGTGTATACGTGCGCGTGTAATCTCTTGTAATTACCTGCATGGTAGAAAGATCCATAGGATGCGACACAATCTCGAGATAATCCGGTACTTCTTTAGTATTAACTGGTTGCCCAAATACGTCGTTCACGTCCTTCGACTTTATAGCCTTGAGTAATATATTTAAAATGCATTGCAGTGGTTGCAACTCATACCATAAACATCGCTCCTTCCTGCAAATAGCTTTCCCTTAAATCGCTACGAACGCAATATCTATGTCGTGTATTGAGTCTAACTTTAAACACCAGATTGATTTCAAACGTAAAAAGTGCCACACAAATGTACTAGACACACTAAAATTGCAGTGTATTAAAAAGAAGAATTATAAGAATATGCAATAAAAAGTAGAGGGTTTCAAAGGTGTCCTGACTGATAAGATCAGTAAAATGGAAAACCCTGCAAATGTTATCGGGAACAACAAAAAAGAAAAACTTATATTTTTATAAGTAACAACGATAAAACGTTTACTTCTTTTTGTATATACTATTTCCTCTTGTATTTTACATGATCTAATTGAAAAATTATCGCAAAGATGTTTCTCTTTTTTCAAAACTCTATATATTGGATATTTATATAAGTGTACATATCACAGAAAAAGTTAGTGGATCTCACAGTGTGGCAAACGGCAAAAATTAACAAAGGATTATATAAAGAGTTGATGTGCATACTCACACTCTGATGTACTCTTTCTTCAACTTCTCGCGTTTCCGCACCAATTCGCACAACAGTCGCGCGCGTTCCAAGTCTTGACGCAGGCATTGCCAATATTTAAGCTGACGATACAACTCACTCCGTAATTCATTGTCGTGCGTCGGCGAGGAGTTCTCCGCGAGCGGAGGCGGTCTCGACTGTGGATGCGAGCTTTGCAGCCGCCTGAGAAGCGGAACACCGTTCCTATATTGCCGTTTCAGCGTCCAATAGGCGATCAGGCGTTGTATCAGTTGACTTTTCTTCGGCAATCCCTCAGCTAGACTGGTTAGCAAATACGATAAAATAATACAACTCAACGATTCATTGGCTCGATCTCCTCCGAACATCCAGTCGCAATTTAATTTTTACATTTAAGTTTTAATCAACTATATATTACAGCACATTTCAATCATTCTTTTCGTTCTATTCTGATGACATACGAATCATTCATGGGAGGGATGCAATCCTTGCAAAACAAATAACTAGTAATTTGTTTTTCCTTTCATGCAAAGTAACGATAAAGATAACGATTATATTATATCCGAAGAATGTAACATCGATACGAGAATGTCGTAACGAAATTGTTCGAGAAAAATAGTAGTAACTTCCCGACGACGTTCAAGTCAATATGGTTACCTAGCGATCTCTCGGATTCTCTCTGGCGGTATCGTAGGAATAGAAATAACGGGTGCCGAGGAGCTTTTCTTATTAGCTATCGCTCTCCTCCTCGCGTCCGTTGGATTAGTGGAGGGTTGGTAATCGACGGGCGTGTGGGTTTCGCAGTAAGCGGTCTTCTGCACCAACATCGGCTCGCCGTTATTCGGCTGTACCGTCCGCATACGCATGCACAGGCCGGCTTGTTGGGCGCATGTCACGTGGAAGGCCGCGTAGCAGTTGCTCTTATGACACTGGATACACGCGCCGGACCCTCTGCGTTTGCACACGCAACACGTGAGTTTCCAACGCGCTTGCGGGATACTCTCGATGCTGTCGATCGGTTCTAAGAACACAGTGTTGGCAAATCTTACTTCCGGTATCCACAAAGCACACACCACGTGCGCCCATTTAGCCGGACGATCGGTCTGCTTGAAAGCGCCGCCTCTGTTAGGACAAAGCACGCAATCAACAGCCCTGGACGGACTCTGCAAGCACCTTCTACATAACCATTGCCCCTCTGGTATGTACGGTACACCGTAGCAATCCTGGTGAACGGCGAGATTGCACATGTCGCAGAACAGGATTGCGTTACTATTCTGGCATTCTCCGTCCATGCAAATGCAACAAACAGCATCTTCGTCCGCTGCGATACCAGCTCCACCATTGCTTTGTTGTTGGAAATATGATTCTTTCTCCAGTCGGTCCATCAATAGTTCGAATACATCGGCCTCCAATGGTGGTGACAAGCCAGAGACATGTCTCCTTTCGTTTACGATAGAAAGCCATGCAGTGTCCTCCTCATCCAGATCATATTCCACTTCTCCTGTTGGCGAGGTCATTTAGATATTATTCTCTCAGGATAATCTCTGAGCAATGATAATTTTCTATGTGCAACATTTTTCTACATGGAAAGTAAGACATATAAACTCAATGAAAATTGCTTAAAAGCGATTTGTGTAAGCTACAAGGAATCGCTTATCAAAGAGAAATAAAAAGTGAAAGCACAGATATTACAGTGCAATACAAATGAAATATATTGATCAAAACAAACAACTTAGGATATTTATTTGTATGTTTTAGTTCTATTTTCGATTGCTTACCATCAAGCTCTTCGCCGCTGCGTTCCATAAATCTAATGTAAGAATTTGGAAGTGACTCGGCCTCTCCTAATTGATTCTCATAGCCTTCTATTTCCTTGACTGTTGCAACAGGCAAAGTGCTAAGAACATTCTTCTCTTCCTTTTCTTTCTCCGCTGATGCTGCGCTATTTTTCTGTGCTTTCTCATCCAACATACTTTCATCCAAAGAAATTATAGGGACAATATCAGTGATGGACAACTTAATTGGTTTGTTTCCTTCTTCTCCGATAGGATTTACCTGAAAACATTTCAGTATATTGAAGTTATTCGTCGAACTGCCGTGAGAAGAAGTAATGAGCGCGAAATGAGGAAATATGAGAAAGAAAATCCTTATTTAAACGTACCAAGACAAATTTCGCTAATTCTTGACTGCTGAGAGTCTCAGCGTTTGTAGGGCTCGCGCTCTCGTTATGCATACCTATTCTGTTCCTACCTTTCTTCTTGTTAGAATGCGGCGTATTCATATCTCTTGTTTTACTCACGGCAAATGTGTGTATTTAACATATACGACGATTAGCTGCAGTTTCACAAGTCCGGTTCTTGCGTTCTTTAACCTCTACGGAATGTTTACAACTTACAGCGGACAATAGGACAACGATAAAGTCAAAGTTTCGGCGACCAATCGTAAAGGAAAGGACTGACGATTCAGAAATAATCAGTTCTCAATATTTTGTACAAAAGTTAGTATCGCACTTGTAAGGAAGAGGCCAAAAAAATAATCAAGACATCACACCATTCAAACGAATAAACGATGCAAAACCGACCGCTAAAAACGAGACGCAACGTGCGATACCAACCGCAAGCTGATATCGTGACCGAAGGATGCACCGGTCTTTTTAGCTGCAACTAAACTACTTGTTTAAAACGTAATCACACATTGGATTGAAATTTCACCAATTAGAACAAAATTCACTAGACTTGCTCTGATTGGTCAAATTTCAATCCAGTCCGTAGTATGTGACGGACATTAAGAAACAGTCGAATGTAATCGAGCAACAGCAATTGATTGGTCAATTTCTTAAGGCAGGGACTAACCGCGTTGAAAATTTATTGATAACTTATTAACGACTATTTGATGCGGTGAAACTGATCAGATTGTTTTTGACAGTATACATTTCTTATAAATCTGTTTGAATCTTCTGAAAAACTAATTCTAGAAAGAGGTTACAACGTCTCTTTTCTTCTTATTAGTAGCAAGAATATTTCAACGATACTTCGATTGATTTTTCCCTTTGATATGATATTTTTAGGTAACTCTATCGCGATTCAAAAGTCTGGCTTGACGTAAATTGTAGATTCGCAGTGGAACGCACTGCTTCCGAAAGATGATATTGCAAAAAGTCTCTATTAATATAACTCAGTCGGTCTTTCCTCTACGTTCCAGTTAATCCGCGACCGTTGCTCGAGAAGGCTCGTAATCGTTCGTCCGCCTTCGTCGAATCGAGTGGTGGGCCGGAGAGTAGGGGGGAGGAAGGGCAAAAGAGATCTAACTTTACACCAGTCATCAGCAGTACTCGTTCCTGTACCTGTGGCTTCAGCAGTTCGCGATCGAGAGAGGAGTTTCGAGCTCGTAACGACGTTCGCCGCGTTCTGTTGACGTTACATCGACATCCTCCCCTTTGTCTCTTTTTACAGTCCCGATCGCGCGAGTATTGTGAAACAGTGTGAAACGCGGACAAAGTCCGCAGAGCGATTCGTTTGCGAGCGAGGTGACCGAATGTGCCGCTGAGAATTATGTGGCATACTGACGCAGGATTGGGATCGGTCGCGCGTCAAGTCAGCTGACATATTGCGCCCTGCTACACCGCAACAGCCTTCGGTAAGTGTCGCAATCCGCGCGCTCTCTGCCCCGCCGCTTGCTCGCTCTATCCTCGTCGCGACTATTTTCGCTCGGAATAATCCTCAGTGAAACTACGTTGTTTCACGCATGTACACGCAAGCGCGTTGTTATATCTCGCCATGATCGAGCCTTCCGCGAGTGGATGGAACCGTGTTAGTAGCCTGCGACAGCGAGACGGACAAAGGAACGACGCAATTTGCGGATAAGTGCGTATTCAAGGATGGAAGCCATGTCTCCGTCGTCTACCGTGCGTTCGTCCCTCTTTGCATGCGTCTCTCTCTCGCCGTTCATCCTTGCGACCCCCGCTCTCTTTTTATCTCCGTCTTCCTCTCGCGCCCCGCCGCTTCCCGCCGTTCTTTCTCTCTCTCTCTCTCTCTCTCTTCTCGTCGGCCTACACGGTGGCGGCGCTCCGATTCAAATGCGTGTACATTGCCCGTAGTAAATGCTTGCTCCGTTTGATTGACGCGTTCAGCGGAACGTTTAGATCCCTCCCTCAGCCGACACGCTTGTTTTCGTGGAATCGAAATACTGCCTTTTGATTGGTGAACTTCCGAAAATGGATGTAAATCCCGCAAACGAAAACATTTTTCTTTCTCCGCGTCTCGCGATTAGAAGTCTTCGCGACCGGGCATTTCCGGGTCGCGTGACGCATGGAACGCAAAATGACGCAACGGCTGTGACGCTCGGCGTGTGTATGAATAAGATATCCGCGAGAAGAAGAACGGGGGGGGGGAGGGGAAGGTGTTCATGACGTTCACTGTACACTCACGCACTTACGCCATCTCTTCACCCTCCGTCCTTTCCTTCCCGCCCCGCGCTCCCTACCGAAACGTCAGTCACTTCCCTTCAGGTGTCCCTTTGAGCATCCCTTCCATTCCGCTCGCAACCCGTTGTTTACAATCTTCTTTCTGGCTCGGTGAGAGATCGCTCGTTCTTCCAAGCGGCTCTCGAGAACTCGACGAACGGAACTCTCTCCATCGTCGCGTATTTTCCAACCAACGCCGCCTCTTATCTAGAATAATTTCTCGTATCTATACACTTCCTTTCGCGCTTCACCTGAGTGAGAGAGAGAGAGAGAGAGAGAGAGCTCGAGTCTCATGCTTTCTCCGAATTCGTAACTATTGTCAAAATGCGAGCGAACAACCGAAGCGAAATTTTCATGGCACGTTTTGCACGCGGGAAAAGGCAACCCAAACATGGTGAGGAGAAATATTACCGCGATTGAGAACATTCAGCTGCATTAAAATGCTCGAGACGACTAAGGGCAATTGACGGAACAGAAACGTCCTGCAGGAATCTTTCTATGCCTATCATTTTGCCCGCAACACAACCAACGGAATGATTTTTCCCGTGCAAATATGCGTTTCTAACACTCCTCGCATTTCCTAAGATTTTAGTGTTATTACGACGGTCTTATTGTTAGTCTTATAGAGCAAAATTCCTACACTTGTTGACCCGAAATCAAGCTTTAATATAACATTTTGACTCGGGCGGCGCTTTTCCCTCCCAATGTGAGAGCTCACTTGGAACGGACCGTATATACATGTACGCACACCTTTTTAACTGCCTGTGAATGACTAATCGGAGAAAAGTGATGGTTGTTTCAATGCCGCGTTACTTAACATTGAAAATTAGATGGACGCGCGTTCAAGGATGAGAGCGAAACGTTCCTCGATCACAAATCGGCGGCGCGCATTTTCCTCTCAACCCGATTCGGAAAACCGACGAAAATTAGCCGACCGGATCTTGCGTTTTCATCGAATCGTTCGTCTTCCTCCTCCTTTCCTATTTTTCATACGTTCAATTTGACGGCACGCCGGACGTGTTTAATGAGCTCCGCCTTACTTCCTCGTGTTCGTTTATATTGCCGTTAACGCTAATTGCGCTTCGTTCTTACGAATTTCTTCCTCTTCCCCCTCTCCTTTCCCTTCCCTCTGCCTTGCTTTCTCTGTCCTTCTTTCTCCTTTTTCTCTTTATGTTCGCCGTAACGGACCATCACGAGCGATAATGAATTCTGCCCTTCCCCTCTCTATCACCATCTATAGATATAAATCAATGTACTCTACGCTGCCGTCTGTGTTTATCTATCCGTGTTTTATTTTACCGTGCACTTCTTAACCCGTCCATATGACCGCTGAATATAAAAGCTCTACTGGCTGCTGCTTTGCCTTTCACGTTCATGCACATTATGTCAAGAATTTCACATCTACGCATAATGTACAATAGTTTACGTTTAGGCAATGTAAACTATATGTCATCTATGTAGATTGTAAGTAGCGCTACTATCCAGTCGCTTTAGTCATCTCTTGTCATTTTTCCTCGACACGTCACACTAAACAATTCATTGTCTTTCATAATGAGTCACTTTTTTTTCTTCAGCTTTTTTGAACAGTACATAAAATGTATATTGATATTCTTATTTCAATCATACGTAATATAATGAAAGTTTAATCGTATATTGTAACTTTTCAATTTTTAATATTAAATATCTCCATTATTTATATAAAAAATGGATATATGAACTATTTTGAAATAATTTCGACTAATAATTTATCCCTTTTCTTTGCATTGTGTTATGCAGTTTATTATATTTTACATAGTTTACAATGTGTAGAAATCCGTGTAAATATCACCGAGATAATACGTAAAATATCCATGTAGATGTAATCTTCAAATCTACAACACGACAAACTCTGGTCAAATTCCAATCGTTTCTGTCTTCAAGATCTCACATTTTCTTATGCTCGTTTCATTGGTTTTATTTTCGATTTTCATTTGAAGACCTTTTACATGTGTGTGTGTGTGTGTAATGTTGACGATAATGACTGACTCGACACACTCGTGCGCGCACGTGCCGAGACGTTTCATCCGTTGCGTGAAGCCGGAAATTGACGGTTCAAGAATGAGTTAGCCGCACGTGTGTGTTTTCCGAAAGCCACGTATTCCTTCTTCCATTGAGAACAAATAAGCCGTGCCGCATTTCGAAAATTCGTCCGCGAGCTCTCGCGACCATATGCTCTCTCTGTTTATTCATTTATCACTGTGCCAAAAACAGCGCGACTTCGCTGCGTTAGAGATTATGCTGCTTCGAACTTCATCTGCGATTTGACACAAAGACGATTCGAACGGAGTAACTTTCGATCCCGCGAGATGGACTCTATGCACATTGTAAATATTTACCGTGTCACATTCATTCGGGAAAGTAAGAAAGTGACTGAGAAGCCACCGAGTTCCACTCGTAAATTTTTATATAGAGGAACTCCGCGGAGTCACACTCTGTCTCACACACACACCGTACGTATACGTGAGATCAATTTCGTTCTCCCGCCCATTTCATGGGTTGGATCGCTCTATCTCGCGACTCTCATTTGATATTTGATTTCCATATCTCACTTTATGCACGTCTATCGGCTTTTAAGCACGCCGGCACTTACGCACGCGACACGCGCGTGCGCAGCGCACATGTCGTTCTGTCCGCACGCGCGGTACACGAACGGACTCTCTCTCTCTCTCTCTCTCTCTCTCTCTCTCTCTCTCT